CTTATTATGGCGTGGTAAGTTTATTACGAACGGATGATACATTAATTTGTAATTTCATATTTTACATGATACCATTATGCATTTCTCGATATCGGTCATCTTTTTTTAAAACCTACTTGGAAAATATTCTATTCCACCACGTACATCTTATAAATTGGTACGTATGTGCGTTATAATTTTTCAAGTATTTTCATGTATTTCTAGAACATTCTTTCCCCTTTTGCTCTTTCGGTGGTGGTTGCAGGCACGCAGCAGTACTGATCGATTGCACGTGTCCGCCCAACGGAGGCAGCACAAATATTTGGAAGACATTCGTAATATATGCAGCTCTTTCCAACTATGAGGCTACAAACGGTCGTAAATGCTGCTTCGTTGATTCCTCGAGTAAATCACACCAACGTTTGTACCATTATTTGACCAGGTGAAGTAAATTGCGAAATTCTTCTGCCAATACATTTCTTGTCACTTTTCAACGTTTATTTTTTTCACGAGCACACACACACATACATTTGCAGCAATGTTCAACATTGTAGTAGAGTGTTTGTGAAAGTTCGATTTCTGAAGTCGCGGGATCACGTTACGAAGTAAAATTAACTTGTTCTTTCCTCTGTATCACTAGTTCAAAACAACTGGAAATCGTATTGTAGGAACATACATGATGACCCTTCGATGACCTTTGTGAATATTTTTTATTTGTGAATTTTATTTGTGAAAATAATATTATTTAATTAGCATGTATCTGCCTTTAACGCAATTTTATCTTCAATTTTTTTAAGCCTTAGACGCAAAAAATAAAACACAAAAATCATAAGTGTCTCGATTATTTTTTTGAATTATTTCATATTGTATGCAATGTCTATTTTCACTGTATATTTTTGGTATTTTCACTGTTTTAAGTCCTAAAATCAAATGCATGGCGGCCATAATTACTTCTGAGTCGCTGTAAGGTGCAAAGAATCGGTAAATATTACTTCTCACTTTCCCGGCTAATTGAAGTGAGCTTTGCAACTAGATCCCCTTAATCAAAAAAACAAAATGTGATTTATTAATACATCTTTCGTTCAGGAATCTCATCAGTAAGGTTTTATTCCTTTGTCACAAACATATTCTCAACCCTAAGTAAATGTTGAGCTCTTCAATAACCTTCTGTCAATAGTTACTGTCAATGAAATATTTTCTTCAGTTCTGGATGCTAACTTCCTGTTATTCTTGAATATAATTCTTCCATCGTGAATCGAGCATTATTTTCGATTTAATTCAAAAATGTGTTGTCTCAGGTTTCTAGTAACGTGTTTAGATTTTCCTCTACAATAACTCATGTCTTAACTGGATTTCTACTGTTTTTTACATCACTCCTATTTTCATCTTTCAACATCAACATATTTTTAGTGTACTTCCAAGTTCTAATATTAGGTATCTTCCCTTTTTTTCTAATATGTGTAAATGAATAGGTAAGTAACGCAAAGTTTAATGTTGTTTTTCTGTTTTTAAATTCGTTTTTTTCGATATATTCTTTTTAAATTATAGTGTCAAATACTAACGATAATAATATATCAAACAACTACGTCGTCGAGCTCCTAATTAAAATCAAACATCAAAATAAGTCTCAAAATTCATTCGTTATTCAACCTGGGCTGTGTAATTTTGTATATCATTTTCATTACATTTGTAAAGTGTGTCATAATGCGAGAGCAAACCAAAACAAACTCGAAACCACAATTAAAAAACCGTACCTATGGAAACAACGGAATAGGTTCGAGTTAATATATTGGACTTTACAGAAAGCCTGTCTTCATGCCCGTCTACAAATCTGTTCTTCCTTATTGTTCCACCCGCTCACAAATCTACACTTTCCGTGAAGCTGCCCTATGACGCCGGCGCTCGGGGGCCCACAAACAGGATGACATAAAACCGAAAAGGATCCACAGAGCTGACGGTAGAGGAAGCTTCGTTAACGAAGCGTTAATGGTGCCGCCTAGCCAGTCTGCCTACGCGTGATGCGGCTTCAGCGGCGGCAGCGCAGCAGGAGGCCGGAGCGGGGAAGCGCGTGGCGGGGTCAGGAGGAGGGCGAGAGGGG